GCATAACATAGTATATTGTTACTATTTCTATTTCAAAAAGTAGCTTTGTTTGCAAAAGGACTCCCCGCTAAGTTTTTAATTTTCTCTCTAATAGCACTGTGAAAATCCAAGCAAGAAGCTCTGGGCTGTCAAAAGCTTAACGGTCCTATTTTGACTAACCTGTTTGTTGTTTTTCAAGTAAAAAACTCACAGAAGTCCTGGGAACACTTTTGCTGGCTTCACTGTCCCACTTCCTGCCACCATACTACCCTCCCCCCACCCACTGACCCCTGACCCCCTGGCTCCTCCTACCGCCTACACTCCCTTCCTAAGAAGTTTCCAAAGGGCTGGAGGCCAGAGCGGTGCAGGCAAGCTGGCTGGCCTTCAGGGGTTCCCATCCTGAATTCTGGGGTTCCCAGGATCACACTCCCACCCCAAGATCTGGTTTAACTCCCCAAACCCGACTGGGGCAGCTTGCCAGACGGAGGCCTGGGAACCATGCACAGGACAGAAACCGCCTCAACAGGGAGGGGCAGGTGGCCAGGCCTGAGTGCTCATTGACTTTAAATTGCAGGCTGCCGTGGGTCCCACGGGAATGGAGCAGAGCCCAGGAAGAAACGACGTCTGTAAGGTCAGGGCTCTGGCCACAGAGTCTGGGATATGGGGCCTGGTTAACTCCATGGGCCTGAGTCACCCGGGACATTACACTAGCCCATGACCAGTCTCCCCATCAGGGCTGTCTTGATGCGGATTCTCAACGCACATTGTGTCTATGAGACCAGTGCTCTCTTGAAGACATATGTAAATGCAGAGACTAATGGGAATGGTGCCCTCTGGGAGTTATGCAAATGGGCAGCCTTACTCTCTCCAACAAGGGAATATAAACTTCAAAAGTATCTTGAGGAGAGTAACTGCTTGATGGGTTTGTCTCCTTTGAAATGATAAAGTGTTTTATAATTAAATAGAGGTGGTGATTGCACAATGCTGTGAATACACTAAATGCCAATGAATTGTTTAGTTAGTTTTACTCTTTGTGAATTTCATCTCAATTTTTAAAAGTATTTTGAGGCATTTGAAGGTAAAGTACTAATTGCTTTTAAAGATTCTCCACAACAAGTCAGCCACCTGTACAATGTCACCTCTCTGCCCAGTTCCGGGGGTTGCTGACACTATTGCAACGGGAAGAAGTGGGTTACCTTAAAAGCCCCACTCCCAGACCTGAGCGGAAGAGGAAAGGAAATGTGCAGATTCATCCAAGGCTCTTGGCAGCACTTGTCAGAAAGGGGTAGGAAGATAGTAGCGCCCTAGCTGGTATGGCTCAGTGGATAGAACGTCTGATTGGTGACGGCTGTTCCAAAGGTTTCCTTAAACCAGCAGTTGCCAACCTTTGGACCTCATGGACCACGGTTGGCAACCACTGGGCTAAAAGGTCCCAGGTTCGTTTCAGGTCAAGGGCACATGCCAGGGTTGTGGGCTCAATCCCCAGTAGGGGGCGTGCAGAAGGCAGCCAGTCAATGATTCTCTCTCATCATTGCTGTTTCTCTCCTTCTCCCTTCCTCTCTGAAATCAATGAAAATATATTTTAAAAAAGAAAGGTAGTAGCATCAAAGACTGCTGAAGGGCCCACGTAGATGTTGAGAATCCAGACGGTCTGCAATTCGGGGAAAATCCACCACCTTGCTTAATCTAGCCATTCGTTCATTCATTCATTCATTCATTCATTTTTTTTCACCCAAGGAACATTCACTGAGCCTCTTCAAGTGCTAGCCACTGCAAGTTAAGAAAGGTACACTACCACCCTCAACAAGCTCCTTGTCCAGTGGGAAGATGAAAGTGGAAACAATTAACAGAGATAAGCACAAAGTGTAAGGATGCTCTAAGGGGGGGGGGCACCTAAGGGATGGGGGTTTGAAGGGGAGGCACTGGGGAAGGCTTCCTGGAGGAAAGGATGCCAGAACTGGGTTTCCGAGGCAACCTTGACCTGCAGCCAGCCTAGGCCCCGGGGGAATGGTGGGTTGGGGGAGGAGGGGAGAGAGAAACACACCAAATGCAGGCTTTATAGGATCTTTGAGGGCTAACTAAAAGGCCAGAGAATAGAGATGCCTCCTCCCAGGAGTGACACATTTTCAGGTTTCTCCCATCCCATCTGCTTCAATGCAGGGGAAGGTGTTACAAAGTAGTAACAAAAGTTTTTCCATCTCCAGGCAGGTGGACGGGAACCTACCCTTCCTTTCACAGGGATAGATGAACCGAGACCCTTCCCCCTGGCTCCTCAGAGGGACTAACAGGAAATTCCCCTTCCAGCTCCCAAGGTTCTCCTGGCAGACAAAGGGATGGGGATTTCTCCCTCCTTCACAAGAGTGAGGAGTATCAGAGGGGAAGCCGTATTGAGATGTTCTCCCTCCCTCCTTCTAGGTGGTTTTTCACTCTGTACCCTAGTTGCTTGTACTCAGTGGAATAATGCTCCAGGGATCAAGGACTGCCTGTCCTTTTTTTCATCACTTTGTGGGAACACAGTGAGACAGCAACAAATGTATTTCTTTGGAAAAGCAACAAAATTACGTAGTGTCCATTAACGTAGCCCTTCCCATTTGAGAAAAGGTATTTTAGTAACAGAATGAGACAGTGAATGAAAAAGGTGCTTAGCACACTGCTTCCATGAGGGTATTTATTGAGTGAATGAATGATTCCTAGTAAACTGACATTACCAAACTGGCTCTGGATGGTTGGTTTGCTTATGAAGATACACTTTTTAAACATTTCCATTTTTCTTAGTGTTCTACAGTTTTCTGAAATACACCCCCGCCCCATTTAGTGTGTGTGTGTGTGTGTGTGTGTGTGTGTGTGTGTGAGAGAGAGAGAGAGAGAGAGAGAGAGAGAGAGTGTGTGCACGCCATACCCTAAGTCCTATCTACTGCTCTCAGTCTGTCTGGTGAAAGGAGTGAATGGTCCTTTGATGAATTAATTTCCTGACCTTCTCTCCTGGGCAACAGAAAGACACACCCATACAGGTAACCCTCAACTCTCTTCTCACTTCAGGAGGATGTGCTCTACCCCCAGCCCTCCAAGCACTTCACCTAGCTACCCTGACCTGATATCTTTAATGTTCCCAGCAAGTGACAGGAGCACTGGAGACAAAGGGCAGAGTTCAGGCCTTGCAAGCCCCAGGGGCTAAGGACCTAACCACTCTGTTCTGCTGCAGTCTTGAAGATATCTCCCGATCGGAGTACCCTCATTTATTTCTTATCCATAAAACTGCTTCCAAGGGTGGCTTCCCATCTGGAAAATGGGGGTGGGGTGCAGGGATTGTATTCTGGTCCCTTCCAGTTGTAAGTCTTGATTTGTGCGGATGGACCACAGATGAGCCTTTTTATTATTATTATTTTTTAATGGGGATGGCAGTGACCTTACCAATCCAGCAGGAGCCGTCAGTCACGTGCAACCCAGCTCGGAGGCAAGGCCTACCTGTCGGGTTAGGCTCCAGTCTGCCCCCGGGGCGGAAGCATCTGATGTAAGTTTGTTCCCCTCTTTAATCAGGATCCTCTTGTTTCAGACCGATAAACCTTAAAAGAAATTAAGGTCCAGGAAGTCCTAATCTACCCCCACCCTCAGCAACCACTCTGTCTCCCAGCACCGCTGCCAGGCCCGATTTCCTGTGGCCCCACCTGAATGATGAAACCCGGGATGGCCATTGCACTGCCGGGCTTTCGGAGATAGAGATCCTTGGTCCTGATGCAACTCTCCGTGTCTTTTACACAAAGCTCTTAGGAGGCAGGGGCGCTAGGACCCGACGGACGCCCGAGGGCTCTGGGCCGCCGCGGGCCCCAGAGTCACTTTTGCACCGCGGACAGCAGTGGGGACGAGGGTGGCTCAAAGCATCCTTCTGATCTGGGTCCCGGTTCTCAGCCCTAGGACCAGGCGCTAGGAACCCCAGACCATCAGCACTCCTTTAACCACCCTCCCCCACCCCTTTCCCTGGGGGCAGTTGGGAGATGGCTGCGGACCCGGAATGGGGACTAGGCGCATAGGGGAGGGGGGAGAGGGGCCCCCTCATTCACCCATTCCCCCGGGACTGTGGGATAACAGGTGGGCCAGTGGGCTGCGGGGAAGGGGGAGCTCAGAGCCCGGAACGGCCCAGTTTGGGGACCCCATCCCCACATCCGGATCATTGGCCGGGCAGGGGTGGCGTGGGGTACGTGAGAAGGTCCGGCCACAGGCATCCATCCGTGCGCCCAGTGGTACGCTTAGCTCCAAGTTCCCGGACTCAGGACTACCGTTCTCCCTGCCCACCGCCCCTTCAAGTTCCCCTGCCTCTCCCTCCCCCACCCCCCTACCCCGCGCAGCGACGGCTCCCCCATCCCCCAGCAACACGACCCTATAATAAGTCTTTCCTTGATCCGCCCCTGCCGCGAGCGCCCTCGGGGACCTTGGCAGCTGCAGCCGCGCGGAGGAGCCTTTCTGGAAAGGGGGCGTGGCCAGCGCCAGGGGTTCGGCCGCCGGAGCGCCCGGGCGCAGCAGGGGCGGGGCCGGGCCGCTGTCACCGGGCAGGAGAGAACGTTGCGAACGTGCGCCCGGCGCCCATTGGCGGAGGCCGGCCACACTCCCGGGCCGCGATTGGGCCGCTGCCCCCGCGGGGCGTGGCCTCTCCGGGCCAGTGCTTATAGGCTCCCGGCGCTGGTGCTAGGGACCGCGGCAGGCCGAGAGGGAGCCAGAGTGGTCAGAGGGGACAAGTCCGGGCAGCGCTCGCGGGTTGGCACCGGTTCGCGCACTCATTCAAGCGGCACTCGTCCCGGCGGCTCTCGCTGACCGCGCTAGCTGGTGAGTGTCCCTCCTCGGGGTGCCGGTCCCCTGCGCCGGGAGGCCTCGGTGGTGCGGGTCCTAGCGTTCGCCGTTCCCCGTTCTCCGGCGGGTGCAGCCCCCCGACTGACGCCGGGCCCGTGCCCCTCTTGTCTTACAGCGTCTTCGGCCGCTGCCGTGTACCCTGAGCTCCTCTGCAGACGTGCTGGGAGCCGGTCGTCACCATGCCGAGCCTTTGGGATCGCTTCTCGTCGTCGTCCTCCTCTTCGTCTTCGTCCTTGTCCCGAACGCCCACCCCCGATCAGCCGCCGCGCTCGGCCTGGGGGTCGGCGGCCCGGGAAGAGGGGCTGGGCCGCTGCGCGAGCCTGGAGAGCTCGGACTGCGAGTCCCTGGACAGCAGCAACAGCGGCTTCGGGCCGGAGGACGGTGAGTCCGGGCGGGGGCGGCCGCGACTCGGGGGCCCGGGGAGGCGAGGGGAGCGCCGCGCTGGAAGGAGTCAGACCCTCCCATCCCAGCAGAACCCAGATGGCGGAGGGATGGATGAGCGGAGGAGGGGGGTTGGAGTGTGGGGTGGAAACTGAGGCACGGAGTGCTGGTTGCTTAGGGAGACATCATCGCCGCCGCGAGCTGCGAGTGGCTCTGACACCCTCCCCCGTGTGCTCTCCCTTGCAGACTCGGCATACCTGGACGGGGTGTCCCTGCCCGACTTTGAGCTGCTCAGCGACCCCGAGGACGAGCACCTGTGTGCCAACCTGATGCAGCTGTTGCAGGAGAGCCTGGCCCAGGCGCGACTGGGCTCGCGGCGCCCCGCGCGCCTGCTGATGCCCGGCCAGCTGGTGAGCCAGGTGGGCAAAGAACTGCTGCGTCTGGCCTACAGCGAGCCGTGCGGCCTGCGGGGGGCGCTGCTGGACGTCTGCGTCGAGCAGGGCAAGAGCTGCCACAGCGTGGGCCAGCTGGCCCTCGACCCCAGCCTGGTGCCCACCTTCCAGCTGACCCTCGTGCTGCGCCTGGACTCACGCCTCTGGCCCAAGATCCAGGGGCTCTTTAGCTCCGCCAACTCCTCCCTCGTCCCGGGCTTCAGCCAGTCCCTGACGCTGAGCACCGGCTTCCGAGTCATCAAGAAGAAGCTGTACAGCTCCGAGCAGCTGCTCATTGAGGAGTGTTGAACTTGGGTCTGGGGGCCGTGGCCGATCCCACAGCGGACAACTGAACTCTTGGGGTGACTCTGGCAGGCAGGAGCCGAGGAGCTGCTGCCCGTTAGTTAAGAGAACTGACGACAGCCCCTTGAAGGGAGACGGGAGGTGGGGGCGTGTTTCCCGGGAAGCCCACTGAGGGGTGGAGGTGGCTTCTCTTTGCGGGCACAGGCTGCCCTCAGTACTGTAGCATGAAACAAAGGTTTAGGGGCCAACCGGGCTTCAGACTGGATGTGTATGTAGCATGTACCTTCTTTTTCCTGTTACTGACAGTTAAGACGACAGTGGTGTGACGGCCAGGAGAGCAGCTGGGCTGCACTGGCCTCTGCAATTGCAATCTGTGTGTGCTCCAGGTAGCTGGCCCTGGGGGGCGGGGGAGGTCGTGGAGGTGTTTTGTGTATCTCATGGTCTGAAGGGGCCAAATGTGTGTGTTGTTTTTGCATCTTTTTTTTTTGACCGGAGCTTCACTACTGACCTGTTGGAGGCAGCTATCTTACAGACGCATGAATGTAAGAGTAGAAAAGGGTGGGTGTTGGGGTCACTCGGGGGATCTCCGACACTAGAGAAAAAATTACACCCGGGAGCTGCGCGTGTCCTGCCCCCGAAGTGTACTGAAGAGTTTATCAGAGTGGTGGGGCTGACTGGGGTGGGGGCTGGCCCCCTGTCCCAGAGGAGTGCCATCTGGGTCTTCCATCTAGAACTGTTTACATAAAGATACTCCCTGTTCATGAATACACTTGATGTTCAAGTATTAAGACCTATGCAATATTTTGTACTTTTCTAATAAAAAAAAGTGTTTGTTAAAAGTTGGTTGAGCCTCTTATTAGTGCTGAGAAAGGAAAGGGAGTGGGGTGGGTACTGGTAAAAGGTGGGTTCAGTCAGTCAGACCCACCTGTGCGTTTCTCTGTCCCTCTCCGGGGCTGCCTGCCAGCCTGGTAATGGAGGCATGTGGGTTGTGCGCCATCTGTGCCAAGAACCCTGGGTCCCTGGCTCTGCTGACTGAAGCTACCAGGGAAATCACTGGAAGGTAGGAGTGAGTCAGACCTCCCACAGAGCCACAGGCAGCAGGCTGAGCTCACCTGGCTGCCCCCTGGGTTATGAGGCCCAGGCACAAGGCTCCCAAAGCCCAACTTCCTCACAGGCAATAAAAGGAAGGCAAGAAACTTTAAAAAGCTCTACTGATGCTGCAATCATGAAAATTACAAATTTTATCTTTGGATAGAAAAAGGCTATATATAGGGTGGGGATATCAATCCATGGATTTTGAAAAAGACTATTCCCTTCAAAGCTCTTCCTAGATAAGGAAAGTAGGGCTCCGAAAGGGACATGACCTCATGGAGGTGTGGCCCAGGCAGGTGCAGAACACAAACACACAGATACCCGTGCCCATGAAGGTGAAGGAAGGAAGGACAAGGGAGGGCTGTTTTCATGGATGACCTGGACTCCTTGTCCTCTCTGGGCCCCAGTTTCCTTATCAGTGGGATTGAGGTTGGGCCAGATGGAAGGCCAAGGCCTCCACTTCTCACTCCCTGGGACTGGCAGGCAGTCCTCCCACACTGGCCTTTGCAGACTTGTTATCTCCCTTGTTTCTCTTCCTGGTCCCAGATATGCCTTGTTTGCCCAACTGTAAAACGGCAGTTCTTCCACTCGAGTGTGCGGTCAGATCCTGGGGTCCCCAGTGAACACACAGCTCCCTGGGCCCCGGGGGAACCGCTGGAGGAGAGCGCCAGGAATTTCCACCAGGGATTGACGCAGGCTCCTGCGCTTTGGGATGGTTTTGAAAATGCGCATCTCTGTGGCAGAACTGAGTGACTTATTCCCCAAAATGGATGAATTTGTGTTCAAACTAGATTTGAAAATGGTGTTAGCAAATGAGAGGGACGGTACCCAGAGCAGTTTTAGGAGAGCCCTCACACTCATTTTCTGAGCACATCCTCCTAACAGCCACCCTGTGAAGTGTGGGTCTGGTGGGGGTTGTAATGTTTTACAGGTTAGTAATCACAGGCCCAAACCCTTGAATGGCCATCTTCTGACCTTGGCTGGCCTGTCCACTGAGCCCCTCAGGGTAGGAACTGGGAGTGAAGCAGGCTCAACATCTGTGTGGTGTCCCTTTCCCACAAATTCAGATCCGTGCCAATGCTCACGGCTGTGCTTCCCTGGCCCCAAAAGAGGAGCAAGGAAAACAACTGTGGATAGCTCAGGAGCAGAGTCTTGTTGGTACATGGAGGCTGGATGTAAGGAGCCATTAACCCCTTTCCAGGGCTAGGAGGCAGCAAGCACACTCAGCTTTTCTAAAAATGGTTCGACTGAGGCCAGAGGAAAGCTTGGGTTCCCAAGAAAGCTCAGCCGAGACACCCTCTCCTGAGCTTTTTTCATCGTAACAGGCTTGCAAATCTCCACAAGCAGGATAGGAGGGCTTCTAGGTGGGAGCTCTGGGGCCTCCTAAGATGCAACAGGAAGCTCTGCCCCAGACACTGGGCTTTTGGAGGGAAGATGGGGCCTGTTGCCTAGTGTAGATGGGGTAGTACAGGCTGAGATCCTGGAAGAGAGGTAGTGTCCTTGTATTGATAGCTAAGTCCAACTTTGGAAAATGCTTTCAGAAATCGTTTTATTAGGCCTACAAATTTTGTACTGAATCCCTTTGTTTCTAATTCCCTCCCTCATTTCTATTTCCGACCTCACTGGATACTACTCTAGAATCTGTAATCGCTCCCTATTATCAGGTTCCACTGTCTGCCTCTCAAGACCTTTGGTATTGGGCCCTTTTCAGTCTATGCAGGGTACTCCTTAGCACTCTGCTTCCTTTGGACAGGTCAGCGTGGTCTGCCCTCTTTTCTGGCCCCAGGCTCTGCTCATTCCAGAGCCCTCCACCAGGGAGGTGAGCCCTGTCTTGCCTGCAGAGCCTGCCCTTCCTTTAAGGCCCAGAGCAAGTTCTAGTCCTTTTATGACTCCCCTTCCCTTGCTCTTCGTGATTCCGGTTTAACAGTTTTCTGGTTTCATTGTAGGGACTTATTTAGTATCTGTCCAGTTCTGTAGGACACCCTCTCCTGAGTTATCCCCCTCTCCCTTGGCTTAGACAACGCAAGATTCCCCCACCAGCCTCAGACCCTCAGGCTAAGGAACAAGGAGGGCAGGGTAGAACGCTTTGTGGTTCTATTAGGCCCGTTTCCTGGTGTAGAGGAATGGTAAAGGCTGAGATCCTGGAAGAGAGGTAGTGTCCTTGTGGCTAAGCCGGCCACGCAGTAAAGATAGTGAAGCGTGGGTTTGAATAATGGCTCAGACATTTCTAAGCTGATGACCTTGAGCAAGTCACTTTCTGTTTCCTCTGTAAAATGGGGGTAACGGTGAGGAAGCTAGTGGCTGGGCAAGAAAAGAGAGGCCTGGGCTGGCTGTAGAGCAAGCACCCTGCATAGGAACCACCTTTGACTTCCTTCACCTCTGGTCCTGCTCTTTCTCTAACATCTTTTCAAAAGCCACCATTTTAACAACAGTCATGTCAACATATGACCCTAATACATTCTTGTGAAAAACATCATTTGGGAGTAAAGTGCTCAGAAAGCTGTTCTTCTAAGCTGTCTTCGTCTAAGCCTGGCATATATTAAGCACCCTGTAAAGGATTCCTTTCATAAGCCCTGGCGAGGTAACTCAGTCGGTTGGAGTATTGTCCCAATGCTCCTAGGCTGCTTGCTCCCTGGTCAGGGCACAAAGGATGTGAGTGTGTGTGTGTGTGGGTGGGAGGGAGGAGGGGGGTTCCTTTAATTTTACCTCATGGTTCAGAAGAAAATGCAAAGGCCAAAATGGCTCAGTGAGCAGGGCTGCAGGCCTAAGATGGGAGGTATGGCTTCCTACTTCCTGGTCCTTCCATTCAGCTCCCCGAGCCCTCCTGGTTCCCCAGCTCAGGGTGTCTGGGTCAACCACATCCTACTTTTGCTGGTAGAGGTGACCAAGTGCTGCAGCCCAACATAAGACTGAGGAAACATGAGGCACAGAAACCAGGCCCAATTAATAGATTACTACAGGACTCTGTCATTATCCTGAAAGGGGACACTTTATGAAAGAATCACAAATTAGAATACATCCCATTAAACCCAGACATATCCATGCAGGAGCCAGTGAGGAGTCTTCATCCCCATTCCAACTGTCACACTAACTGTGGTCATGTAGTACTAGTGGCTCTGAAAGTAGACACTGATGGACTGTCACTTGATTACTGCATTCAATCATTTCAATCATTCAACCCATATATAATTAAACTAGAGGCCCGGTGCACAAAATTCATGCATGGGGGAGGGGGTCCCCTCAGCCCAGCCTGCACCCTCTCCAATCTGGGACATCCCTCTCACAATCCAGAACTGCTGGCTCTCAACTGCTCGCCTGTCTGCCTTCCTGATTGTCCCTAACTGCTTCTACCTGCCAGCCAGCCTGATCACTCCCCAACCACTCCCCTGTCAGCCTGATTGATGCCTGACTGCTCCCCTGCCAGCCTGATTGCCCCTAACTGCTCTCCCCTGCAGGCATGGTACCCCCCAACTGCCCTTCCCTGCAGGCCCGGTCACCCCCAACTTCCATCCTCTGCCGGCCTGGTCACTCCTAACTGCCCTCCCCTGCAGGCTTGATAACCCCCAACTGCCCTCTCTTGCAGGCCTGGTCCCTCTCAACTGCCCTCCCCTGCTGGCCATCCTGTGGTGGCCATCTTGTGTCCACATGGGGGTGGCCATCTTTGACTACATGGGGCAGCCATCTTGTGTGTTAGAGGAATGGTCAATTTGCATATTACTCTTTTATTAGATAGGATGGATCCCTGGGGCTGCAAGAGAAAGCCAAAGTAAGTGGGAACCCCTAAGAAACTGATTCTCTTTCTTTCTATCTCTCCCTCCCTAGGTAGTGACATACACACTAACTTCCCAGGAAAAAAAAATCCGACAATTTAGAATGACTAAGAATATGTAAGATAAAACAAATTTAACGTATAC